GGCCTTGATTCACATAATCATGGTCACAACACTTTATTCTTCCTGCCCCAATAACAGAGAAACTGGGGATCCCACAGCAGCCAAAGTGACCATTTTGGGCTGCTGTAGGCTCATGCTAGGCGGAGGGGGTGTGCCTAAGCAAACAAGATCAGCCCCCAAAGTTCTTTTCCGCAACTCGCCACAATTCACCACCCGATGTCAGGGTAGAGCTCATCCTGACTCTGCTTACACTTGTAAGAATCCTTTCAAAGGCAAAGCATGATATAACACTTTACAGTGCATGTTTGTCATATCTTTTGTGTTTGTTTCATTCTATATTGCAGATAAGGAGATATTTGAGACAATTCCTGCAAAATCACACAATAATCATTTAGTACAAGAAGAAAGAAGTAACTTCACTGTCTCTTGTGAATTTCAAATGAAGCGCTCAGGACAAACATTTCTTATATATTGGATCAAATATACAGAAACAAGCAAATGCCTGTTTTCTGTTCAGAGAAAGCCAGATACTTTCTCGTATAATACACATTGCTGTATTGATGAGATGATCAAAGGACGACTATTGAACTATACAAGCTTAGATTCAAACGAGAGACATGTAGTCCATAATATGACCATCTTGAATGTTACTTACTCTGACCGTGGAACTTATTTATGTGTTGTAAATGCCTGGTCAAGAGGTAAACACGTGTGGAAGATTGCAAATAACCTTTCTATAGAAGTGAGGAATCAAGCCATTCCAAGTAAGTTAGAAGTTTTGTAGTTGGGGTTGGTACTAGAGTTACTTATAATTTTGCCAGACGTTTGCTATTTGGGATAAAAATTTCCACGCTGGGAAAACTTCAGCGAAAATGGTTCAGCCATTTTTGAGAACAACCCATGGAAAAATATGCTGTTTTGTCCATGTTAAAAATTCTGGTGACATTTTCTTTGAACAGATCTAGTGCTCCATGCTTTGAAATAGGGACTTGACATTTGGCAGGAGAGCAGCCTTTGTGTTAGCAGTGTCCCTTTTACCATTCCCATGAAAGTCTGTCCAAATCTGGCCAAGTTATAAGCCTTTAAAAGTCACAGTCCACAGATGCTCAGTAGAGACTTCCTAGATTTCACCCACTAAATTCCCCAGTGCTCCAGCCCAGTGCTGAGTGGGACTTTCCCTGCAATTGCAGGTCTGGGCTGCTGTGAGCCATGCTGCATCCAGTTCCAAGCAATTGAACTGAGACTGAACTTCTCACAGTAACATCCCTGCTGGGCCCAGGCTTCATGGTGGAGGAGGAATGAAGAGATGATAGAAGCCAGCCAGCCAATTGGGGGACAGTGGAGAGAGCAGAGTGTGACAAGGAGTTTGGTGGGGGAGACTGAATGCAGGAGGCTAGTGGATGGGGAGGAGTGCAGGAGGCTAGTGGATAGGGG